ATGAATATAAATAGTGTAAATAAATTATTTTTTCAATAAACAGGAAACCGGATAAAATATTTAATTAAATCAAGAAAAAATGATTAACCGATCTATAATGGAAAGTAAAAATGTTCAAATTCCATAAAGTAATATATATATATGAATATAAAATATATATATATATAATATATATTTTTATAAAAAATCAATCCTTTCAAAATTGACATAAAAAATCTAAAAATTACATTTACCTACTGTCTATTTTAAATTTTGTTTTTGACAGATAAAATATATCTTTCAGAAAATGAAATTTAATTTTTATTATTTTCATTATTCCAACATTTTAACACATCATTTGATATAAATTTTATTATTAATTTACAAATGAGCACAAATATTTATTAGATAAAACGATTATAAATAACGTATAATATTATCCTTTATAAGATTACAACCGCTCAAATCTTCAATTTTGATAAAATTGGAAACATAACCATGAAATAAAAAAAAAAAAAAATATATTTCGAAATTCCTTTTTTTTTCAATATGGCTATTTTATAAATTATAATGCTTATTATTTTTAATAATATTGAATAATTTTTTAAACATGAAAAAATTATTTGTTAAACTCTCTACCAATTATTCAAAACTGTTAATAGGAAATTGTTGAAAAATAAAATATTTAATATTTTTTAAAACAAGATATTCAATATTTAGATTTTATTTTTTTTAAAAAGGTTAAAATGAAATATGTTTATGTTTTTCAAACAAAAAACAATTGCTAATAGTAATAGTTTTTTTAAAAAATTTATTATTGCATTAATTTTCGTAACATTAAATATTTTAGTTTTATGATTTTTTTTAAATTTCATCTGAAACTTTTGAAACAGATTTTAATAAAGCCATGTCCGTTCACATAGTACCATAGAAAAAAAAAAAAATCAGACACATCAAATCAGGCGAACGTAGAAAACATTGCAAGCAGCATTTTTATTATTTTCTAACCGCCTGAGATAAAATCTAATGTTGGACGTAATGTCGTCAGGAGATAAATCTGTTATCGTCATTTTTAAAAAATTTTAAAATCTGAGATCATTTGAGCGAAATTTTTTTTTTAGACTAAAAATGTTGTTAAATTTTTTGGCATTTTTGACTGTTTTATTTATATGTATATAAAAACTCTATCTTTGATGATATATTTCAGTTTGAAACCGAGCCCGATATTCCTATAATGATGATTTGATAAAAATTGATTTCATGAAGGTTTTTGATGACAGACCGACCCAGACCTTTTGAAGGGCCGAATACAGAGGTTGGTGTACTACGTGTCAAAAGTCCCCAAACGACCCTTTAAAGGGTTTTAATTCAGATTTTGTTGTCCTTCTCCTTGATTTTTGAAATTTACTCATAGCTGGAGATATTTAGAAAAAGATTCGTTAGATTTAAAAGAGTCATTTGCACGTTTTGAATGTAATAGATTCTACTGGAATTGGGTTTTGTGATTACCAAATCCTCAATCCATTAAACCGTCCAAATTTTAATATATAAAATCTTATATGGATGATATTTATTTAACGGTTTTATATTTTTTATATATTAATATATATGTTTAGATTATTTACAAGTTTCTTAAATATATATATATTTATTCAATATCAAAAAAAAAAAAAAAAAAATTATATAAAAAATTCACAAACAGACAACCAGTTGGAATGTTTAAAATTAGCTATCACTATTCCCCATAAATTCTTTTAAAATTAAGAGTTGACTGTCTGACATGTGTACATTAAACAAAGAGCCATCCATAGTTTCTTTAAGTTAATGTCTGGCTTTTGTTTAAATTTTTTTTGCCTTAAAAAACGTGTGTAAGATAATAGATTTCATTATTTTTTATCTTTTTACTTAAATTCATTTGAATTCAACGTAGGTCATATTCAGTTGGTTGTTCAGAAAAAAAAGCCTGAAGCCTTTATTTTTTTATATATTTCTGAAAATGAGTTGAGGATGTATTTATTTGAAACCAAATTAATCGTTTTTTAGTCATCTACAATCAATTGAGAGGGACGCATCGTTATGTTTTGAAACACGACTGCAATATTGTAGTGATCCTTACATTTTTAAATTTGTGAATAAAATATAAAAAAAATAATTTGCTCTATTATTGAGGTCTCTTTTAAATTAATTTTGTAATATGAACGTTGGACCTGTTTTATATTCAAATGTTCATCGAATACATATTTTACAACTTGCACACACACACACACATACATATATATATATATATATATATATATTGAGATTTCTTTTACGGAATTACATCTTCTACTTTGATGGATTATTTAATTTAAAAAAACAGCTTTGCAGGAATATTTAAAGCCAAATTTTATTTTCGTTTTTTTAATGAATTTAAGCTTACATTGAAATCACTGGCAATTAATCTCTTTTTTACTGTTGAAGTTAGAAATTAAATAAAACGCTCTATTCTGATAGTTAAAGAAGATATATTAGAATTCTTTTCTAACGAATGTTTTTTATTTGAATTTGAAAAAATGCAATATCAATCGCCATCTTCCATCTTCTAGAATTCTGTTTTGTATTGCCCTTTCTATTCTGTCACTTTCACTTCCGGTAACCTCTTGCGTTTTAGTGACATTATCTCCTTGCTTGAAGAGTGAAATGATTAAAAAATACTTTCCCATTGCGCTAGACTAGATTCCAAAATTTAAAAATTAGAAAATAAAATAACGATCGGATTTAAAAGAGCATTTTCCAATGATGCTCTCTCTCATTATTTGAACCTCACGAAACAGGGAGCAAATAATTTTCATAAAAGGAAATATGTGGTCAAAATATACTGTTATTTTTTTATTTGGGTATTCCTTTATTTGCCAATGGGAAAAGCAAACAGTAATAAGATTTAAATACGCAGGTTCAAAATTTTGGAAATTTTCAAATCAAAGGCCTTCTGCCAGATGTAGTTAAAAAGATTAAAACTTACTTTTTTTATAATTTTTTAAAAATAAATAATATATATATATATATATATATATATATTATATATATATATTTTATATATATTATTTATTTTATTTTTAAAAATATATAATCTTACTTATTATAAAACGCAGATTGTGTGTGTGTCTGTACGTTTATATATTGGATCGGATTTCCTACATTTTTCAACCGATTTCAACTAAACTTCACAGGACTGCGTAAAATTACCTTGCGGTGGTTCTGACAGCGCCCAAAAATTGGAAAAACACAATTGTTTTTGCACGAAATCTATTTGAAAACACGATAAAACACGATTCTGTCGCCAGAATGAAAGGGGGACAACTCATATCGAGTTATACTTATTATAAAACCCAGGTTGTTTGTGTGTGTGTGTTGTTTATATATGGGATCGGATTTCCTACATTTTTCAACCGATTTCAACAAAACTTTTTTTTTTGGCAGGTAGTGTTTCTTATTGTCTTGCACACTTTTTTCTTTATTTTTACATTCAGAATGCTTTAAAATTCCATTTACAAGACAATTGTTTATAATAAAATTCTATTCAATCGATAGACTCATAACGATTGAAAACAATGTTTTGTTTGAGTCTGGGTTTGACCAATTCGTAAAAAAAAAAAAAAAAAAAAACAAAAAACTAATTAAGACATGAGTGTCCATCAACCTTAAACAATAATCTTTGTCAATTTTATTTTTCAGTCTTTATGATGGTCGATACTTGATCTATCTCTTACTGTTACATCCCCGGGCAACGCCGGACTCTACTGCTAGTATGTCATAAAAAACTACAAAAATAGCCATTTTGTTTCATTACCTAGTGTCTTATTGTTGATGATGTCAATATATATATATATATAATATATATGTTTATATATATATATATATAATTATAAATAAATTTCAGACATTTTTAAATTATACGACTTAAGACCATCGTTATCTTATCAGCATTTACCTCTTTTTCTGTCTATATTTATATACCTTACATCTGGATAAAAATGGATATGCATAACTATCTTCTTTAGCAGACATACCACGATTGCTTTTCCTTTAGGCAAGCTTCTGGGAGAAAATGTAAAAAAATAATTTCTTTGGTAATCTTTAACCTTTGTGCCGACAAAAAAAGTCAAAATGATTTTTTTTTCATTGACACCGCGATTATTTTAACTACCTTCACTACTCGACAATGTTTGTTTTTTAAAATGCGAAGATTAGAATTGTAATAAAACCTAAACGTATGAATGTGAATCTGTACATTTTGTTTGTACTTGAGAATCTGACTGCAAAAATAATAAAAAGAATTGGATTGTTTATTTACACTATTTATTCATTATATTGTTTAAAATGATCGGCAAAAGATCATAATTTGTCAATCGATTCGAACTTTATAAAATGGTAAAAAAGGATTTCATTATCGTTCTCACATATTTCAATAAGTTAGTAAATGTTTATAAAGTTATAGCAAAATTGTTTTCATATTGATTTCTTTATAAAGTAATAAATGATAAATATTGCATTAGTTTTAATTGTATTTGTTTTTAGAATGTTGTAAATAAACAATCGATAAATAAAGAAACAATGCTTAATCTTTTTGTGGTAACTTATCAAAAACGAAAAATCTATAAATTCCCTTCCATCGTGTGATTGTTTCATTACAATTTCATTGTAGTCATTGTTTTATAAAACAACAAACGTTACCAATGAGTGAAGATAGAATAATAGCCGTGTCAAAGGAAAAAATCGTCCTTTTAATGCTCATTTTTTTATAGATAACGCTGGTCCAAGCCACAAATATTTATTTTTGACACATTTTGAAAAAAGTAGACATTGATTAATGCCAATATCCGATTTTTGCTTTTTTTTTTTTTAACGGCGAATAATTAAAAATGACGTTAAAGCAAACCTTTCCGTGCGCTAATAACTGATTTAAAGATTTTGGCTGAATCTTTTCAGGCGTTGAATTCCAAGAAATTCCAGATACCAACGGGGTTCCAATCGTCTGTGATATGTCTTCAAACCTATTATCAAGAACTTTTGATGTCTCCAAGGTGAGCCCTGTTTATATCTGCTTTATTAATGGAAGTGTGTGTTCAAGAAAAAAATATTTTCATTTAAAATTTAAAAAAAAAAAAGAAAAATTCACATATATAAAAAAATAGAATATTTTGGAATATTGTTTGCGTTGTTTCTTGAAGATATTAGTATAGTATTTATTTAATTTTTGATCTGATACTTGACTCTTTATGACAATGAGAGAAAAATGTGTGCGACGAGACTCTCTCTCTCTTGACACACACACACACGTGTGCGTATATATATATATATATATATATATATATATATATATATATATATACACTTTACAATTACCTCTTTTAAGATACCGTTAATTCTAGAATTTTCACCTTCAATTTTAATTTTAAAATTTGCAGGTGTTTCTTTTCATTAAGTAACAAATCAGATTTGAATTCGTTGAGCACTTAAGAAAATTTCCTCTGTTTAATGAAAATAAACAGGCGCTATTTTCAAGTCAGTTTTAACATATTTCAAATTTTTTTGTTGTTTTAATAGGACCCGATTGGATTATACCAACGGATTCTAATATATATATATATATATATATAATTTTTAAATTTCAAATTTTTCTCTTTGAACTGTGGATTTTTACTCCATTTGTTCTTTATCTCATTTACAGATATATACGTGTGTGTGTGAGCGCGCGTATATATATATATGACTTCAAAAAAGTTTAGGTTAATTGAGACTTTATTCGCCTGTAGTACTTCAAGGCTTGGCAGTCTAAATGCACACTGCGGCGCGTATGGAGTGTTTCTCCTATGTAAGGATGAGGGTGAAGATACGAACCCTGCCGATGGGCACATTCACTTTATCAAAGACTCTGGAAAAACCTTGATCGGTAGTCAATTCTTCTGCTTAAAAATATAAATATCTATTCAAACATTTGCGTCCACTAAATATAGCGTTTATAGTAAGGGTATATAATGAATTTCTTTTATAGTTTTGCAAGCATTCTAAAAGACGTTGTACAGGATAAAATTTTACGACAAATCATTAAAGCCTAAATTAATGAATCCCCAAAACTGCTTAACACCTTGACCTCCAGAGGTCAATTAAGAAATCTGACCTCAAACAATAATGTTATAATAGCAAACTTCTATATGAATAAATGCAAAATTGGAGATCAATTCTCCCATAGAATTTTCTACCTTATAGTAATTTGTATTTACTCAAATCCTACAAAATCAGGTTTTGACATAATTTCAATTTAATGTGGGAAGCCCGGGCTAGGAACAAAAATTGACCGCAACCGTCGATTGTGCTAGCCTCGGTGCGAGTACCGATCACTCTCGCTGGTGCAATGAGAGGTCGCAGCCTCGGGCAGCTGTTCCCCAGGGTTGGGCACCTCTCAGTATAATTTTCCTCAGTTGCGTCTCTGTCCTTTTGACGGAGCCCCCCCCCCCCAGTGTACTCTGACCAAACACAGAAGCGCAACTGAGAGAAGATAAGCCATGTGAAATCTCTTCACGGAGGAATTTACGCAGTGTTTACTCATTCTCCCACCAGAACGAGATGTGATACAAGGTCGGATTAATGTGGGGACCCGAGCGCGTAGACTCGGGCAGGGACAAAAATTCCCCTCAGCCCCCGCTGGCCTCGGTTCGAGCATAGATTCCTCCCTCTTGTGCAATGGGAGGGCGCGACCTCGGGCAGCTGTTTCCCAGGGCTGGGCATCACTTCAGTATAATTTTCCTCAGTTGCCCCTCTGTCCAAGGACAGAAACGCAACTGAGAGATGATAAATCATGCGAAATCGCTTCAAGGAGGGATTTACGTGCAGTATTTACTTGACCCTCCACTGAGTCAGGTTGTGACACAAGGTCAGTTTTTAACGTGGGGACCCGAGTGTTTTCACTCAGGCCGCTGGTCTTAGCTGGTCGTATGCTTGTCCATGCTGGTCAGAGCTAGTCATAGCTGGTCAGAGCTGGTCCAGACCCGAGCCGGTCCAAGTTAGTCGTAGCCATGATACTACCAGTAACAGGGCCGAAGCACAAGTGCCGGGTAAGTATCCGAGCGCGTACATCCCTCCAAGGAGGGATTTACGCGCTAAAGGTTAAATGTCTGTATTATATGTTATCGATTTCTTGGCCGTATCAGTTTTCAGGCTTAACTGATTAGCATATTGATTTTAAAAAAGTATATTTCACTGTACTTCATTACTGTTCTTTTACTCGAAGATTGTTTTGATTTTCATATAAAAAAATTGTTCTGTTTAGGAATATTGTCTGATATAGTGCAGCAAAGTGTTTGCAATTTGCATTTTACTTGGCCTTCAACAAGTTGGCATATATTTGTAAAACTTTCCTTAACTATAGTGATTTTCCAAGCGTAGCTTAAATGTGGCACAAGATCGAAAGTAAGGGACACCCAGCAAGGATCGAAGTCACTACACAGTCGTAATTGTTCTAGCAAGACAAGCTTGGTAACCATTACACCGCTTCGAGGTGCCCAACTTTCCTTAACAATAGCAAGCCTACCCCCCCATCCAACTAATTAATTTCTTCCGTCTTTACAGTCATATTCTTTGAACAAATTTATTAAACGTTCACAACCCCTTCAACATTTCATAAATAGTAAACATTAATCCCATAGAATAACAACTCCTTTTTCCTAGAAAAATTACCAGGTTATGTTTTTCATTTATGCAAATACATGTATTTTATTTTTGTCATTTTTTTCAAAACATCAAGGAGAGATGCCAATAAAAATTATTTCAGATTCTTTCATACTCTGTAATTCCTCAGTTCACTTGTCTAATCATTTTATCTTTTTGTCTGTTAACATCTTAAAGTATTTTCTAGTTTCTCTTCAATCTTCCCTGTCTGTTGCGCGTCCTGGTTAAGACGATAAACTACGTCCGCGAAATGGGTAAGACGATAAACTACGTCCAACAGCAAGGCCTCTGATCAGGAGGTTTTCAGGAGCGTAGAACCACCTCTTAATTGCTGGTGTTCCCAGGTACACCCTGACCCAGGGTGGTAGCACCTGTTAGGGTCCCAGCTATGGGCAAACAGTTAGTCCCGAAACTGAGGTAAAAAGCATTATAAAAGTGTAAAAATAGGTCTTAATACCAGAAATAATTTGTAAAAAATTATTACCAGAAATAAATTAAAAAAAAAAACAACTATTACTAGCAATACGTTTTTGATAAATAATATTACCAGCTATACAATTTCGAGGAAAAAATATTTCCAGAAATAGATTTTTGACAAAACAAAAATATTACCAGGAAAAAAAAGTTGTCGGCATTAAATGACCTATTGAGGTTGATATACCGTAAAACAAACCAAACCTGTTCTGTTGCTATTTTTTTCTTTATTTTGGAAGCTTTCTGTGTTTCCATGACGTAACCATCATATTGATCACTGTTTACTATTTGAAATTAGTATTTACAATTCTTTAATATCATCTGGTGAACACTCCGTCCCGGTCCTTTTGAACAGGAACAGATGTTTATCCTTCGTTTCCTGTTTCTTTTGAATCCTACTCTAATTCTTTATTTCTAACTCCGCCTAAACTCTAAATTTTTTACGATTTATTTATCTTTCAAAATTTTTTCCTCCTACAGGAGTAGATAGGTTCAACTTTCGTCCGGTTCATACACGTCTCCGATATTTTGAACAGAAGATTATCCCTTGTTTCCTGTTTGGGATTGGGTTTCTGGTTCCTTCTAAATTCTACTTCAACTCTACACTTTTAACGTCTCCACCTAAAATCTGAAAATCATACTACTATTGGGTTTCCGGTTCCTTCGAAAATCTTTTTCTTCTCTTTTACTTCCAGTAGTCTCTCGTGTTTTAGTGGTTTTATCGCTTTGCTTGGGGTGAAATGATAAAAAAAAAATATCTGAAATTGTTGTTTTAATGTTATTCAACTAACAACTGCTAACGTGTTACTTTTCTATTGTTTTGGTAGTTTGGTGTGATTTACGCTGGGGCTCAGAAGAACCTTGGAATGGTTGGAGTTACTGTGGTTATTGTCCGTGATGATCTTTTGACCACTGTCCTCCCGAATTGTCCCAGCGTTTTAGATTACAACGTTATGGTTAATTATGATTCCTTATTGAACACAACACCTGTATTTAGGTAAGTTTATACTCTTGATCTTTGGTCGTTGTAATTAAGATAATTTTATGATTAGTCTGTCGTATGTCTTGTATGGTACGTCCTTGATTGTTAAGATTGAGACAATGGTCTCGTGCCCCTCCCCAACCTTTTACATATCCCTTGAATCTATGGTACGGCTTCTGCTCTATTAAATCTCAATTTTCATCAGGTAGTATATTCATATAAAATACAAATTTTATTGTAATCTAATTATGTACAATAAATGGATCATATGCAATATAGATGAACAATTAAACTAGAAAAGTTAAAAATAAATACAATGTGTCTAAATACGAATTAGAGACATGTCATAATAGATTATTCCATCTTAAATGAATCAGTTTTGCGGCAATTTTTAACATCAACTTTCAATTTTTCTTGCATAATTTGAATCAATTCAAAATTGTGGATAAAAAAAATAGTGAATTTTATATAAAACTAGACCCCAGAATTAGGTCAAAATCCGTGAAAATTTTTTATCATTTAATAGTCAGTTGTGTTTACTTTAATTTATAACGTAAATAAATATAGATAAAAGAAAAGGAAAATGCTGATAAGGTAGCGCGGGTCACAAAGCATTACCTGTGACCCTCCAATCTGGTTTGAAGTGGTAGTAAGCATCAGCCCTGCGGCTTCTGACTATCTGCCTCTTGGTTATTTGGACTTCTGTTATCCAGAAGTGAATGAACAGAAATATTTTTTTAAATTATCTGATTCAAACCCATTCTAATTTTAACATTTCAGACGAGCGTTTTTACAGTTTAGAAAACTACAAAATCGGTTCTTGTTAATTTATTTATTCCTTCTTCGTCTTCTTCCTTCTTCGTCTTCTTCCTTCTTCGTCTTCTTCCTTCTTCGTCTTCTTCCTTCTTCGTCGTCTTTCTTTCTTTCTTTCTTGTTTGTTTGTTTGTTTCATGTTTGTTTGTTTCTTTCTTTCTTTCTTGTTTGTTTGTTTCTTTCTTTCTTGTTTGTTTGTTTCTTTCTTTCTTGTTTGTTTGTTTCTTTCTTTCTTGTTTGTTTCTTTCTTTCTTTCTTTCTTGTTTCTTTCTTTCTTTCTTGTTTCTTTCTTTCTTTCTTGTTTGTTTCTTTCTTTCTTGTTTGTTTGTTTCTTTCTTTCTTGTTTGTTTGTTTGTTTCTTTCTTTCTTGTTTGTTTGTTTCTTGTTTTTTAAAAACGACAAAAAATATACATTTGAATTATTACAGCTTGGTCATTCCGAAGATTACGGTTTCTGCAAGTCTCAGATGCACGTGACACGCGTGAATTATGCTTCAATGGGAAATAAAAGATAATTTTTTTTTCTTTTTGTGCCATGTTCGAGAAATTTTATTAAAGAAAAATTACGCACGCTGGCAGGATTCAAACCTGCGCTCGCCCTGACCAGAGGGAGGTATCGTTTAAATCCACTATGTTCTGATCAACTTTCTCGAACTTTCAGGCCGGTAGATGAAAATAAATAAATAAATAAATATACTGTTTAATAAATAAATGGAGCGTCTACTCAAATATAGGTATCCACTAAAGATAAGGTTTAAAGTGACAATCTGTCGGATTAATAAAAAAAACATTACATTCTTTAGAAAAATTTACTTTATTTAGTTTTGTATATGAAACTTTAGATTTGTTACTCCTTATTTATTTAATTTTATGAAATTTCGAGAAATTCATTTTTGTGGGGTTTAATGTTTGTATTAGTTTTATGCACAAGTTCTCAGGGATTTTTTGTAAAACAGGACCCCTCCCCCAACATTCCCAGAAAAATATCCTCTGAATCGTAAAATAAAAAATGCAATGAAATTAAAACGTTATTAAATTAGAAAAAAATTCAATTGCTTTTATGAATAAGAGATATTACGGATACTATTGTCTAAAGAAAAAAAAATGTTGATGAATAATGAATTTTTACTATAATTATTTTTTCTTTGATTTTGAAAATGAAAACAATTCAAGTAATTTACAAGCTTTTGAATTTCTGTATTAATATATAGCAGATAGGTGATGTTATCAAGTAAAACTATATTTACTAATCATAAATAGAAACGATTACTACAATTCAGCGGTATTTTAAAGGAATTTTGATTTTTTTGGTGGGGGGGGGTGTATAAACGTGCAAGTTTTTGTAAATACGAGAGACCATTTACGTAATTACCAGAAAACAAGAAGGGAAACTATAGAAAATGTATAGCCAAATTATCTAAAAGTCAGTAAAATATTAGATTCGTTAGAATATTTACCTAAATATTAAAAAAAAGGTTACTATGTAGTTATATAAAAAAGGTTCTCGCATTATAGTATAGTAATTTTTACATATATTTCCCTACTTCGACAAAATTCCCAAACAAAAGTCTATCGAGATTGTTATCAACACTTCATAAAAACACCCAAGTCCGTGTTTAAAATGCTTTTCTGGGATATTTTAAACTAAAAAATATTTTTCAAATAAGATTAATTAAACTTTAAATTGGCTAATTTTCCTCAAATTGAGGAAAATTTAAAGTTTGTCCGACCAATGTCGCCTTTCTATCTTAAGTACCTAAGATTATTTACTTTTGTTTGAAGTTTGTAAACTAACGATCTGTGTTGTAATAATAAGCTGAAGTAAAAAATATCTTGGTCATTTTATTATAAAAAATATACTGTTGATTTCTTTTTGGGGGCGTGTTCACTATTGGCCTATAACTGGGACCCGAACAGGTGCTACCATCCCAGTTCAGGGTGGAGCTGGGAACAACGGCATTTAAGAGGTGGGCCAACGATCGTCAAAATCTCCAATTTCCCGATCAAAGGTCATGTTGCCAGGTGTAGTTTATTGTCGATTAACTGTACTTTCATTTTAGAGGTACCTTGCATATATATTTATATACGGCCGGCACGTACCACTCCTGAATCTTCCGACTTTAAGCCTCGGTTGGGGACACTGGACAGTGCTTTGTGACCATCAATATCTTACCAGATTTGCCTCTTTTTTTCTATCGATATTTATATACATTACAAATTAAACTAGGCATAACTAATTTGACACTAAGTGGCAACAAATGAGTAGAACTCTGTCTCAAAAAGATACAACTAGGAACCTTAAGGCGTGGATTTTTCAGTGTACCCACATCATTAGCGAATGTGGCACAAGATTAGTTTAAAGTAGGAACCTTGAGTGGGAACCCCCGCATCATTGACTAGGAGGGACATAAGTCCCTTGCACAGTCCCTGCGTTCATATGTGTCTATTTAGAACTGAAGGTATAAATCCTTTTTTCTTTTTATTTCATTAGTATCTATGTCGTTGGTCTCATGATGAAATACATAAAAGAAAATGGTGGATTGGAAAAAATGGAAGAGAATTCCAGGGTCAAGTCCGAGGCTGTGTATTCAGTGATTGACCAATCGGACGGATTTTACAGGTAAGTTTTATATTCAATCGTGAGTGCTTTTGTATTCTTCCTTTTTTACTAAATAATTTTTATTTTTTACAGAGATGTTTACACAGTTGAAAGCCCGGGAGCCTCTCGAGCTAGAGGGTTACAGAGCAAATGGAACAGTTTATGCGGATAGGAGGGGAAAATAACGGTTAACCCTAGACTTGAACAGGTTAAGGTTGTAGTGATCGGAGAATTATTTGCTTGGGAATCGGTTCCACAGAGCAGTGGCTGGAGGGATGGAACTCACTAATGGAATACGAAGGGCATGTGGATAGTTTGGTACAGTGTAAGTGGACATGGCGGGTTCTGGTCGTGAAGGTAAGAACTGGCAAAACAAAGGAATGTTGTTCATCCTAGCACTTTCTATCGCACTTTTAGCCATAGAGCAGTGAGAGGCTTGCCATATCCTGTCTGTGTGAGAGAGCGGTTGGAGGGTGGAAAATAATTCATCACCCACAAGGACTCTGAGACACTTTTGGACACTATCGAAATTGGAACATGGAGTATTTGAGTAGATGTATGAATTAATACGTATAAATTAAATAGTAGATTTATTTATTTTCGGCTTGGGTATTTGAGAAAAATATATGCTTTCCGGCAGAATTCGAACCTGAGTCCCTCTGAGCAGAACCAAAACTGTTGTTAGATCCGACGTGACTCGGCCATGGAACAGCCTTGTCGATCAAGCAAAGTGTGAAACGTACCTTTAAGCGAAATAAATAAATGCAGCGTCTTTGGAATATAAAGGTATAGAAATTGCTGTTATCACGAAGTGAGGGATCAGTTTAGATATTAGCTGTAATATAGAATTGATTACCCAGTTTATAATTTCTTGTTTCTCAAATTCTGATTGGATATGAATCCACCTCTTCTTCCCCAGCTATGGATTAATTAGTAAAACGTATATTTTTCTTTGTGTGCCGTGTCTGTGTAGAATGTGTTCTTTGTGGTCAGATGCACGAGCGTACATAGTTTGTGGTGCCAGGGATCCTGTCTCAGCAAAGCGACAATAAACAGAGGTTGGATGACTTTTGGTTGGAAACGCAATCTGATACAGCCGTGCAGCCTAGTCGTCCATTGTCATTCGCGCGACCATATGTAAAAAATCATATCTGCCTGCTCACGATATGAATATCTTGCCATTGTTGAATGGAACACTTCTCAGTTAACTCGCTACTACACACGCTGAAGACTGACTAGCTACAGGCGCACACGAATTATAAATGTAACCTAGTCTACATGTCAACACAGCGCCATCTAGCGTAAACTTTCTTTAAACTTAATTCAAGAGCGAAGGATTTGCAGACATGTTTATGGGGACTTTTTTGATGTGAGGAACCTGCTCCCAAAGTTTGTAAAATTATTTTTGATACACCTCTCTTATATATATATATATATATATATATATATATATATATATATATATATATATATATATATCTTAATGAAATATTTTTATGCTTTGATCATATTTATACGGTATTTCTTTGTAGATCCATAGTAGATCCCAAGTTTCGGAGCCGCACAAATGTCGTTATGAGGATTGGAAAAGGCCATGAAAACGAGGCTCTTGAAAAAAAGTTCGTGGAGGAAGCTGCCAAACATAACTTGATTTCATTGAAAGGCCACAGGTGAGTGTTTCAGATCTGTTTACAAATGAAATGTTCTTCAAAATACCACCAAATTGTAATGGTTGGCGCGGAATGTTGGCTTTTAAAAAAAATGAACGCTGAGTGAACATCATTTTGAAAGGTTTTTCTTTTTTTTTTTTTTTAATGAATTGTATCCTGTATGGCAGTGAGAAAAAGAGACTTAAAGCAAAAGAAATGTGATTCTGCAGAAGGATGCTGAGGATAAAAAGGACCGAACATGGGAGCAACGACAAAGATTTGAAGAAGAAACTGATATTTAACATCAGGAAGAGACAGATGCGGTTTCAGGGACACATAAAGAGGGCTTCGAAAATCTGATATTCACAGGACAGATAGAAGGAAAAAAGGAGGGGGAAAACGTTGCATGGCATACTTAATGAGCTTGAGTAAGTAGATTGTAGAACAGGGCTTATGAGAAATAACAAAGTTTATTAAGAGCTACAAGGGACGAGTAGTTGTGGAGAGCCATGATCGCTTATGTCCTGAGGAAACGTGGCAGATGAAGATGATCCTTCTAAGATAGTTCGTAGCTCGAGGTACGTTGAAACTGAGAGGTCCTCCTTCATTGCAGCAGGCAATCGAGATGATTAGTTTTTTGGTGGTCAAAGGTGTAGACTAGTTTCCGGCGAAAGGGTTACGAACTAAGAATTAAGCTCAATTACTTAACGATGCAATATGAAAAATTCTACGGGCTTTTTATTGTTGTAGAACTTGCTATAAGCTTATTCAATCATTAACGTAAGAATTAAGATTCATCAAAAATTAAATTGGGAAAACTGACATTTTCACAGATTTCTAGTGAATTCATAATAGAGTATTCGATGTAGTGTAATGGTTAGCAAGCTTGTCTCACTAAATCAGTTAGGACTGAATAGTGAGTTCAATCCTCACTGGGTGCTCCAGTTTCGGTCTTGTGCCACATCTAAGCTAGACTTGACCTTGAGCACGTCGACATGGTTAGCAAGCTAATCTCTTCAGAACAATTACAACAGAGTAATGAGTTCGAGTCCCACCGGGTGCCCTATACTACCATGTGGGCACCTCGGCGTGGTGTAATGGTTAGCAAGCTTGTCTTGTTCGATCAGTTACGACTAAAAAGTGAGTCCAATCCTCACTAGGTGCCCCGTACTTTCGGCCTTGTACCACACCTAAGCCACGCTTATAAAATAAACTTAACAGTGTAAAAATATACAGTGTAGGGACATTTAACACGTGGTAAAGTGATGCATATGGGGAAATATTACTAGCAAAATAAATGCACAAAAAGTGGTTGTATAATCCGACTCCTCCTGTCCGTGTGGCCACCAGACTTGACCTATATATCAAAATAAACACTCTTGTCCAGGAGTTTAGAATACCACACGATGGGGGGGGGTAGGATACACTTCCGTGGAGGTGTCTTCTTTCCTTCATGGTCTTGGGTATGACGATAAACTACATCTGGTAGTAAGGCGATAGGGAGATTGGACGTTTTGAGGAGCGTGGAACCACCTCTTAATTGGTGTTGGTGCCAGGCCCACCCTGACCCGGGTTGGTAGCACCTGTTAGGGCACCAGCTATGGGCAAATAATGAACCTCCCAAACAGAAATCAAAACACTAGCAAAATGACCAAAAAACATTTTATCTCTAGTTGAAGGCATACAGTTGCGTTCAAGATATTTAGATATTTTCATTAAATAACCGATAGAGGTTGTGGTTGATATGCCGCTAAATAAAATCAACCAACCAAACAATCAACATGTAAAAACTCTTTCATGACATTAATCCATATAATATCCTCTAATTTCTTAAACTGTATTCCAAAATATAACTTAAAATAACTACATCATAAAACATATCACCGCCTCTAGTAATCATGTATATGCAGAATAATTATATTTTTCTAAAAAAAAAAAAAAAAATTCAATTTTATTCATAGACTTTAAAAAATTGTTATTAATGTCTACGGTTTCCAAGATTGGGGGAGTGGACATTAATAGACAAATACAATCTTTTAATGTCGACATTTCAAATACAAGAGCTGAAAGCGTGTACGTAAATTACTGTTGGTACATTTTTTTTTTATTTTACATCTTCTTTATCGTCCTGGGTATGACAGTAAACTACATCCGGCAGCAAGGTTTCTGATCAGAAGATTTGAGATGTGGGACCACCTCTTAATTGTTGTTGTTCCTAGGTCCGCCTTCACCTGAGGTGGTAGCAACTGTTGGGGTCCCAGCTATGGGTAAACAGTGAACACTCAAGCCAAAATCGACAGTATATATTTTATAATAAAATGACCAACAATACATTCTTATAACAAAATGACAATCAACGCAATACTAAAAAACATAAAAATATATTTTGTAGTAAAATTAACAATATATTTTATGATCTACAGAATATATATTTAAAAAAAATCCTTTATACTGGAAGTATTATGTACAAAGTATCTGTAGTTGAAAGCATAAAATCACGTTCAAAATATTTAGATTTCGGCATTAAATAATCTAGAGGTTGATATGCCACCAAACAAAACCCAAAAACCAACATGAAAGAACTTTCATAACATTAGTCCATATAATATCCTAGAATGTCTTGAAGAAATTAATCCGTATTCCAAAATACAACTTCAACATAAAACACACACATCACCGTCTCTAGTAATTCTGTCCACACAAATATCTGTATGCACAAAAACTGAGTATCATTTACCATGTATTCAATTATGAAATCAGAATAACATACATTTTTATTATTCCAAAGTTCCCAAGAAAATTAAATTTCAGCATCAAATGACCCATAAGGAGTTAATATGCCGTCAAGCAAACAAATCAATCTGGGAAGTGTTCTAATAGAAGAAAGAAAGTGTAACTCTGGAATCGAGATAGACCTAAACGATAAGCAAAGTATCAAGAGAAATATTTCATTAGAAACAAAGAAAAGAACTCTTTTGTGACATTATTATTAATAATTATGCCTACACAAACATGTACATATGCGCAAAAGCTGAGTCTCATCTACCATGTATGCAATTGTGAAAGCAGAATAACATATATCAGTTTTTTATTACTTCAAAGCTCCCAAGAAAATTAAATTTTGGCATTAAATTGTCGATAAGGAGTTGATATGCTGTTAAACAAACAAATCAATCTGGGAAGTGTTTTAACAGAAGACAGTGCAACTCCGAAATCTGAAGGCGCATTGGGATAGCGAAAGATGCCTTCCAAAAGCTAAGCAAAGTATTAAGAGAAATATTTAATTAGAAACAAAGAAAATAACTCTTTTGTGACATTAATTCATATAATATCCTACAATTTCTAACTATATTTCAAAATGTAATCTCAACAAAGCTACAGCATAAAACACACATCACCGCTTCTAGTAATTATGTCTACACAAACATGTATATACACAAAAGCGGAGTATCGTCTAGCATGTATTCAATTGTGAAAGCAGAATAACGTATATTTTTATTACTCCAAAGCTCCCAAGAAAATTAAATTTCAGCATTAATTGACTCATAAGGAGTTGATATGCCGTTAAGCAAACAAATAAATCAATCTTTCCGGGATGTGTCGTCTAGTGAATTTAGTTCGTTGCGTCTAATCGCGAGAAATTCACGAGGCCTGGATTTTGTGGGTCGGACGATAATTTGATTGTATTGCATCGTCAATGGCGGGTGATCCTTCTGAAAGAGGTGCAACATTTCCACAAATTAAGCTTTTGAGAAATTATCAACAATATAATTACAGAAGAAATATATAAAAAAAAATCTTACAGCAGCTAAATCGTTCCAATGTGTGTTTTGCTAAAGTTTGAGGCACCGTGATACGTCTGTTCTGAGAGATGTGTGGGTGTTAACGTCTTTGCAGTAATTGACTTTTACGGCGAATGAAGAACTTGGTCGGGGGGGGGGGAACCATCTGAAGTCGTCTTCTTTGGGAGGCACTCGCTTCGACGGTTCTGGGAAATTGGCCTCTCTCGCCGCATATGCGTATTTCTATAGTTAGAAGGTTCTTTGTTTGAAAAGCTGTTAGAAAAGCCAGATGGGCAACCATAAAGCGTTTTTTTTTTTTATTCTGGCGCAGACTTTTAAGTTTCCAACATTACATCGAAATAAAAGCAAACACGAAGTATGGGTCTGTCACATGTGCAACAAAAGAAAAATAAGATAAACAGAAGATAAAGAGAAAGACAGAAGATCAACTAAGTTTTATAGTAAACAAAAATTGTCTTATTTTAATTTTAGTGATTTGGTCAGTGGGCTAAAAAGGTAAGAAAATTGGCTTACCAGCAAGAAGTTAGATACCTCAAAATAATTTTAGTCAGAGTTGTTAGGTTCCTGTGGCATAATTTACATGTCAGGTCAGAGAATAGTAGTAAACAGCTTTGAAGCAGATTTCTGCAACAACTGACTTCGCCAGACAACTCACTTAATTTTAGCGCTAACCAACGAATACGAATACACGGATAAAAGACCTGCACTTGTAAGGTCATCCGATCACATCAAAGTGTTCATTGATTTCTTTTATCTAAATAAATGCCTTAGAACTCTGTGAATCTTAATTCATAAAAACAGATTTCGCTTAACAAATGTATCTAAACAAATCCGAGAGCGATGAAAAACCCGTTGATTTTTTTTTTTTTTTTGCAATCTCTTACTCATGTCATTCTAACTTTCTCAGTGTTATAGTGTTGGGCTGGGGGTGTCAGATATACTGAATCTTACTTAGTTTAGTTTGAGTCCAAACTCTTCCGAGGTCCTCCTTAAAAGGTATTTTATGAGTTTAAATGAATATTTTTAAATACAATGCTATCATTCGGAAGTATAATTTGGAGGATAAATAAAATACGAAATGTGGGCTTTAAGCTTATCGCTTATTCTTCCGGTTCTGGTACATTCTAAGAGCTAAAGCGGAAGTGGTTAAAGCAGTGACTGGTCCCAAAAGTATCTGAAGTAAAACAAAGATACTGCCATATGGTAACCAAATGCGTAGGGAAAATTTGGATATGTTTTGAGAGTTGTGTAGTCTGAAAAGTCGGCTTAACCGAGCGGACTGTAAATCTCCACCCATCGCAATGAACGTGCCTTGAGCGCTTTTTGGGAGTTAAGCTCGGCTCAAACCCTCAAGTGGAACTTGTACATGATATCCACCTGTAAATATGCTGAAAAATGGTCGGTTTCCTGTATCTCACTCTTGCTATCCTCTACCTTTTACAAGAGCCAGATTAGTCCGAAAATGGGTGACTGCAGTCATATATGGACAGGAGTTGCCCGATCTTTACTTGCTAGTGTCGATAGAGTTCAAAAGTGTCTCTGCGTACTTGTAGGTAATTTTTTTCCATTCTACAACCCCTTTTCTCACATACGAAATCTTGCCAGCCACTCTGTGTTCTATCGCTATTTCTATGGAAAGTGCTCAGACGAACTACATTCCATAGTTCCACCAGTTCTAACCTTCACGGCTAAGATCCGCCATGCCACGCTTATTGTAACGAACGACCCTCATTCTTTTTTTCAAACTTCACCGGTGAGAAGTAAGTTCGACTCGAGCAGCTTCTTTCCATGAACTTCTGCTTTGTGGAACCTAATTTCAAGAGGATGCTTATCTGATCGTTACAATTTTAACCTGTTCAAATCTAGGGTTAACCGTTATCTTCCACACATATCCTCATAAACCGTGCTTCTTACTCTGTAGCCATCTACCTCGATTGGCTCCCGGGTCTTGTACAGGGGGAACGTCAATATAAAAAATGGGAAAAACACGATTCAATATAAAACTTAACCTATGAAATCCTTTCGATTCGTCAATCAATGAATACTCCGACTTGATTCTGGAATTTTTTTATTTTTTCCAATTCACCATTTTCTTTGATGCATTTCAACTGCATAGATGCTAATGAAATAAAAAGAAAAAAGGTTTGATACCTTCAGTTCTAAACAAACTGGGTCTTGTACAGGGTAAACATTATTATTGTAGTAGTAATAAAACCTTAAATGTGAAATTTCTCTGTAAAGATTTTTATAGTCTTTTTAAATTTTCTTTTTTTTCTCCTACAGATCTGTTGGTGGTATCCGGGTTGCTCTCTATAATGGAATCTCCGTAAAAGACACCGAAAAACTTGTGGAATTTATGAAGGAATTTCAAAAGCAAAATAGTTGATAGTCTTTCTCCTTTTTCTGTTTCTTGTTTTTCTTTTATAGCATTAAAAATCTTTTTTTTTAATTAGACAAAAACACCATCTAAATCTTGGCATCAACCTCTACGAAAAGGTACTATAAGTATATAGACAGTAAATGTAACACTGCGATTCAGCGTTTACGTAACACACAATTCTAATTGCAGCTTTATAAGCTGTTTTCAAACTTACTATTATGCTTTGTTATTTGGTACAGATTTGAATTGATTTCTATTTGAAAATCACTGTACATTTTGTATCGTCTTGCTTACATCTACTAAATCATTGGATGATAATTAAGAATTAGCTGTAATGCTTTTTTATAACTCATACAATCATCTTACTAAAGATAAAAATTCTTCATATCTTTACACTTAATTTCGTCAATAAACAACTATTATTTTCATGTATTTTCTAAATAAACAGTGGACAATCTTAAACGCTTTCACATCTTACCTGATAACACCAAACTCATGAACTTTGGTGCTTATCTATGTTCACTTATGTACAAGTTTATATAACACAGCTGATGTGGTAAACTTAAACAATGGCTCACCAAAATAGTACTAAACATGTTTTCATGCCATCAGTATTATATTCCAAGAAATTCTCTTTCAATCCAGCACCAGGTACACTTGAGCAATTTCTATACACAGTTTTTTTTTTACACACGTACAGTCTTGTATTCTCTCTCTTTACATGTATCTCTCTTTTGAATTAATAATTGTGGTTAAATAATTTGGCAATTGCTGAAAGCATAGAAAATTATGGAACCTATCTGCTGTAGAATTGTTCTACCTTATCTGCCAGGAAGTCCGCTAGTTGGCGTTGTATTTAGGACTATATGAGGAAGGGTTATACTTTCTCTTTTTGATTTTTCTCCCTGATGATTAGATAATTAGAGGGTGTTGTTCAGTTTTCCCTTCTACAGTAGCCGGCAAAAAGACTACTTAATTGGCAACAGATTACGTGGCGTGTGCAGAAACATACATGCACACATAATCCCATAAATGTTTTCTCTCCTTTTTTGCTGGGCTGCTAATCTGTACACACAAATGTACTGTTTGTTTTTTTTTTTTTTCTAAATCATGTTGTTCTCTCTATGTGCATAAAAACATATGTAAAATACTGCACGCGTTGAATTCAGTTATTTTGAAAGTTTTCAATCTCTACGTCATAATAGTTAAAGAACCGCATCCATTAAAATATTTAACAACTGGTTACCAACAACATGATACAAAAAGACAACTACAACACACACACACACACACACTAAAAAAAAAAACACCCGACGGAACAACATTTGGTAAATTTGCAAATTAAGCCCCGTAGTTGTGCGCGGAAGCTTGCTTAGGAAGTTCAGTAAAAAGACCGTTAACTATCTTCTTACTCGTCTCAATTACTGCGCAAAACAAAAAGAAGTCTTTAGACACTTTTGAAAGTGAAGTTTTTATTAAATTTTTTAAATAAATTTAAGTAATTTAGAAAATCAATGACAAGTGTTTTATTTTTGTTTTTTTTAGTAAAGCTGTAATAATAATGAACTCTTGTTTAAATAATAAAACACATTTTAAAAGGTAGCCTTTCCACAATTGTAATTGCTATTTTGTAAATAATCATGCTTAAATAATATTGCTTAAAATTGATTATTATTTAGTCCATTTTAGAATTGTTTTGTAAATAATCATGCTTCCTAAAACCCCAAATTAAAAAAAAAAAAAAATAAAAACCTTAAAATTGTTAATGTTATTATTAAGTCCTTTCTAGCACTTTTTTATTTTGTAAATAATCATGCTTTTTAAACCCTCAAATTTAATAACCCAAAATGCAAACTTTAAAATGAATGCGCGAAATTTAAAAAGTAACCCAATACTTTTTAAATTTTGCGCATTCATTTTAAAGTTTGCGCATTGCGTGCGTAATAATCAAGACAAGTGAAGCTTCCGCGCATGACTTCTCGAGGCAAACGTATGCAAACAACGCCAGTAGTAGCTGCCGGGATGTAGCCGCGAGGTGAATAAAGCCGAACTTACATTGTCGATAACTCCTAGACGGTAGATTTCCGCAAACTCTTACTGTTATTTTCGAAATAAGCATGCAAATTTACACCAAAATGAAAATTTTCATTACAATTGGTTTCCTAGGCTTAATCTGCAAATTTACCCATCATTTTCTATCTACTGCATTTGGAACAACATTTTGTACCTTCTGCATCATATGGGTGAGAAAGCAAAAGAAATAAGAGTTTGACTTTTCCTTTTTATAGTTCTGAATACAACACCAACGAACACATCGTAGCAGTCAAATTGGTGTAATCGCACAATGCAAGGTTTGTTATTTACACTATTTACATTGTTCGGACTATTATACTCACTTGGATGAATCGAGAAAAAGTTATATGCGACGATGTCGCACTTCGTTTCTGGCGTTTTCTTTAAATATTTAGGGCGGCCAAAAATCTGGGGATTAGTTATATTTCTCTTGTTTTTACAATTTTTTCCATTGATTTTTTTTCAAATTGATATTAAATGCTGGCAAATTTCTTCATTGATCCATGGTGAAAATGATTATAAAGTTATACGAGTAATATTGTCATATTCACAACGTTTCAGCCGTTTTACGCTTAGGCTTTCAAGTGTTAGACTTTGGAATTTCGAACCGAACTCTTTATTTATTCACACAATAGTCCGAACAATGTAAATAGTTATAATACCTCATCTCAGAAATATAGCCAGATATGCAAGTTTTTTTTTATGGCTCCTGCAATCATTTAACTAAATGCAGAAATCTTTAATTTCTTTACACTGAGTTTGATCCATCGACTGTTATTATTTTTATGTATATTCAAAACAAATATTGAGCAATTTGAAACGCTTTCTCCTCTTGTCTGTTCAAGTGAAAATAAGCTTCTAAGTATAAGAAATTTTCAACTTTGGTTATGGACAAAATATGACCACACAACCACAACTAAAATGGCCGGATGTTGCATATCTGGAATAATCAGGCCGATAGATGGAAATAAATAAAAATACTCTTTAAAAAATAACTAAAGACAGAGCATCTACTCAAATATGAGTATCCATTAAAAATATTTAAACAAATAAATATATAGGGTTAATAAATGAAACATCCATTCTTAAAAATTTACAACAGTCTAAAAACTGTCTATATTTCTGAGATGAGGTATTATGTACACTATGTATATTATTCGGACTATTGTCCTCATCTTTGTCGCCATATTTATTACAACGTTCTTGCCGTTGTACGCTCCGGCCTTCTTCAGGTGGTTGTAATGTCGAACTTATTTCGCTCACTGGGGTAGACTGTTCTAGTTCCACGTGCTCAAGGACACATGGCACAGTGGATAAAGGCGTTGGTTAGATCTAGTGACAGGACCCAAAGAGTGTCAGTTCAATACCCGGTTAAGGCAGTGGAGAACTTGGAGAGGGGAATTAACAGTAGATAACTGATAACTGACGTCCATTAGCATAGTAATTTTAGGCGCGGGAAGCGGAATTTGCGTGACGTGTTCAAATCCCAGTCAAGGCCGTTACGTTCTCTTTTTCACAAAACACTCTTGAATGTATGATTTTTATCTTTTCTCCCTCCTAACTAAGGGTTAAAGAGCAAGAAAGAATTACTCTGTAGCTTTGTTTGTCAACTTGTCTAGGAGAAAGCTAATTCGGACTTGAAAGGCGATTGGTCATAAAGGCTAACAACTCCATGCCATAAAAAATTCCCCAAAACAATACTTTTAATTTGATGAAAAAAAAAACTTATTTTACTTTTTACTAATAAATAAGTTTAGGAGTTGTATTATAGAAATAGTTAATGTATATGTCTTATTTTGAAATAAAAGTAATTTATTTACATTATTCGGACTATTGTCCTCATCTTTTTCGCCATATTTATCACAACGTTTCGGCCGTTGTACGCTCCGGCCTTCTTCAGGTGGTTGGAATGTCGAACTGAACCCTTTATTTCGCTCACTGGGGTAGACTGTCCTAGTTCCACGTGCCATGTTTAATGGATGTCAGTTATCAGTTATCTCCTGTTAATTTTCCTCTGAAAGTTCTCCACTACCTTAACTGGGTATTGAACTCATACCCCACTGTGCCATGTGTCCTCAAGGACACATGGCACAGTGGATAAGGCGTTGGTTAGATCCAGTGACAGCACCTAAATCTTACCGGAGAACCCCTCAGTAATGTTACATAGCCCCTGGTTGAGAAGACGCTGTGTTAATTGTGATGCGTCAGTTCGGTCAAGCAGACTTTCAGAATTCAACTGATTTTATGGGTCATCTCTAAAATGTATAGTTTCTATTACCACGCAACAGGCCTATTTTGCAAATAAACCGTTCACTGATGAGTTACTTACATTTTTTTTTATCATTTCACTTCAAGCAAGGCGGGAATGCTACTAATGCGCAGGGGGTTACAAAAGACAGAAGATGGCGATTGACGTTGCATTTAAATTTTTAAAGTTTGTAGTTATCAGGGAGTCAAGGAAGGAAGTTCCACAAGCAGGAAGTACGAGAAAAGAAACTAGGAGTGGTGGTTGCATTTAGCTATTTCAACAGTGGGGCCTAGATGCCAATTCATGTAGTCGGGTCACCAGGGGTGGGGGAAGGTCATTCAGAGTAGTTGCTATGAAAATATTTGTAGAAAAGACATAGGGAAGCCATATCGGTGAGAAAGTGACTGAAGTCAAGTCAGGATCGATTACATTGCAGATCCTTCAATATTGCAGGTGAGCACCAATAACATTGCAGATTCTTTCTTGGATTTTATCAAGAATCTCTAAATGTATAGCATGAACACCAGACCAGATGTGACAGCAATAGTCAAAGTTGACTGGAAAGCATGGAGGCGAAAAAGAGTTCCACAAACTAGAGTGGCGAGAGAAGAAACTGTTACCATAGAACTTACGGTTACATCTAGCCATTTCAAATGACGAAACTTTACCGCCAATCTAGTAGTAC